CACCTTGAACTTCCCAGCCTCTAAAACAGTGAGCAATAAATTTCTATTGTGTATAAATTACTCAGTCTAAGATATTTTGTTGTAGCAGCCCAAATGAACTAATACAACTGTTTAGTAGTCAAGAAATACATTGAGATAGTCCTAAGACAGGAAAAATGCATATGGCATTATATTAAATAATACTAATTGTTATAAACAAAAATATGCATGAAAATTTTAAATTATCTAAAAATTATCTTTAATTAGACACTTGATAAGTAACATATACAATGTGTCAAACATTCTTCTGTCTGCATTACACACTCTTAATTCAGTCTACACAGGTAACTTAGCTGCTTTATTGAGCTCACGATCTGACTGTATTGCTGAGACACAGTGAAAGGTGATTTGAGATCGGGGGTGACATCTTAAGTCCTAAAAGTTAGAAGTGTGAAGTGGGTCTCACTGGGCTAAAACCAATATATTGAAGACTGCGTTGCTTTTTGGTGGCTCTAGGAGGCATTCTCTTTCATGGCCTTTCCCAACTTCTAGAGGCTGCCCAGACTCCTTAGCTCATGATCCCATCCTATATCTTTTTTGTTTTGACATGGAGTCTCATTCTGTCACCCGGCCTGTGGTGCATTGACACCATCTCAGCTCACTGCAACCTCCACTTCCCAGATTCAAGTGATTCTCCTGCCTCAGCATCCTGAGTAGCTGGGATTACAGGCATGGGCCACCATGCTTGGCTAATTTTTATATTTTTTTAGTAGAGATGGGGTTTCACCATGTTGGCCAGGCTGGTCTTGAACTCTTGACCTTAAGTGATCCGCCTGCCTCAGCCTCCCAAAATGTTGGGATTACAGGCATGATCCACTGTGTCCGGCCCCATCCTACGTCTTTAAACCCGGAAAAGACAAGTCAAATTGTTCTTGTAGTATCACCTCATTCCATACATGTTTCTGTCATCACATCCTTCTCTTCTTTGGAACTCCCTCATCTACCTTTTTTTTTTTTGAGACTAAGTCTCACTCTTGTCCCTCAGGCTGGAGTGCAATGGTGTGATCTTGGCTCACTGCAATTTCCGCCTCCCAGGTTCAAGTGATTCTCCTGCCTCATCTTCCTGAGTAGCTGAGATTACAGGCGCCTGCCACCAAGCTGGCTAATTTTTGTATTTTTAGTAGAGACAGGGTTTCACCATGTTGGCCAGGCTGGTCTTGAACTTCTGACCTCAAGTGATAGGCCCTCCTCAGCCTCCAAAACTGCTGGAATTACAGGCATGAGCCACTGCACCCGACAACTCCCTTATCTACTTTTAAGGAACTTGGTAATTGCAGCAGGCCCACCTGGATAATTCAGGGTAATCTCCCTATCTTAAGGATGGCTGGTTAGCAGTTTAAGTCCATCTTTACAACCTTATTTCTCTTGCCTAATATAGTCCCAGGTTCCAGATGTAGGATGTGGATATATTCTGCCTACCACAGGGTTGTCCATCAGATTTACCTTAATAACTAGAATGTACCCACTCCCCTATAACAATGGTCCTTTTTCCTTATCTATTTTTTTTCAATTTGGGGCTCCCTAAGATTATATATTTTATAATAGGATTATTGAAGGCCTGTGACCAAAAAAAGAAAATTTATCCCCTAAAAAGCACACAAAGAGGCCGAGCACGGTGGCTCATGCCTGTAATCCCAGCACTTTGGGAGGCCGAGGCGGGTGGATCACAAGATTAGGAGTTCAAGACCAGCCTGATCAACATGGTGAAACCCCATCTCTAAAAAAAAAAGCAGCAGCACACAAAGAAGAAACTAAAAATTACCCTTATTTATTTATTTAGACAGAATCTTGCTCTTGTCACCCAAGCTGGAGTGCAGTGGCGCGATCTCAGCTCACTCCAATCTCCACCTCCCGGCTACAAGTGATCTCCTGCCTCAGCCTTCTGAGTAGTTGGGATTACGGGTGCCCACCACCACACTCAGCTAATTTTTGTCTTTTTAGTAGAGTTGGGGTTTCTCTGTGTTGGCCAAGACTGGTCTCAAGTGATCGTCCGACCACCTCTGCCTCTCAAAGTGCTGGGATTACAGGCATGAGCCCCTGCAACCAGCCATAATTACCCATATTTATACCATCCAAAGATAATTACTGTTAACATTTAGTATGTATGTTTACTGTCTTCCTCTCCACCTCTAAGCATGTATGTGTTTCTCGATTACTGGATCCTATTAATCATGTAAATGAGGCAAAAAGTCTCCAAATCATAGTTTGTAAAAGGAATCTAGCCCAACCATGGGTCACATTATATCTATGTTCATGTGGGGAGAGGAGGGATGCCAGTTTCCTTGCTTAGAAAAATTAATCATTGATGAATATTGAAAATAGTCACTGGGTAACCTACAAATATGGACTTTGGAAACATCCCCAAGGTTGTATGTGAAAGTAACAAATATTGACCATAACATTTCAAAGGTATATGAAATGGAATGAGATAGCACTAGTTTAACATGTTCACTTTTTTTGTTTGTTTTTTTTTGAGACGGTGTTTTACTCTGTCACCCAGGCTGGAGTGCAGTGGTGCAATCTTGGCCCACTGCAACCTCTGCCTCCCAGGTTCAAGCGATTCTCCTGACTCAGCCTCCTGAGAAGTTGGGATTCCAGCTGCCCACCACTATGCCCAGCTTATTTTTGTATCTTTAGTAGAGACAGGGTTTCGCCATGGGCCAGGCTGGTCTGAACTCGCGACCTCAAGTGATCCGCCCACCTTGGCCTCCCAAAGTGCTGGAATTACACGTGTGAGCCACTGTGCCAGGCTGATAAGATTATTTAAACTAAATTTTTTAGGAAATATCATGTCTCTGTCTCCCTAGTTAAAAGGAAATAGCAAAATTGTTACTTTTATGAAAATGGATTGAGATGTTATTGGTTTTTAATAATAACAGCTGGTTTATCTTAATTATTATATTACTGTGTGTTTCATGTAGATGATCCTGTTGAGATAGTCATACATTGTTCTATTTTTCTTGCAGTTTTACCAGTAAGGAAAGTTTACCACACTGTGAAGTTAATAACTATCAGAACTCAGATTAACAGCCTCAAATCAGACCACAGAGCCTGTGTTAATTTCACTAAAACATCTCTGCTCAAATTATATGTATCTTTTTCACCTACCTTTTTCACTTACTGTTTCATCAGAACTTCTTTCTCAATTAATGAGTATTAGTAGCAAATGTACTCTATGTCATTGTATAACATACCATGATTTAATCTGATTTTCCTTTATCTCCCACTGCAAGATTTTCATTCTTAAAAATTATTCTCTGGAAATTCTGGGTAATGTCAGTGGATTATATCAGTGTTAATGTTCCGGTTGTGGTATTTTACACTACAGTCACCAGCGGGGGTAACCAGGTGAAAGGTACACAAGATCTCTCCATTTTATTTCTTGTAACTACATATGAATCTATAGGCTATCTACTTAAAAGAGAAAAACATTTACAGGAAAAAAGTATTTCGTGAACATACTTCAACATACGTTTGTGTACAGCTATAGCTACTTCCTTGGCATAAATACCAAAACGTGGAATTTTGAGTCGAACTGAGACTGTGGTTAAGTACCTGCAACATCCTATAGACCCTGTGACATTCATACTTGGAATGAGAGCTTGACTAACGGGGCATAACTGCTGCCTGCACATTGTTTACAGTCCAGCAAGGAAGGGACACCGAATAGCAGCTCGGGGCAGCCTGCGGCCTGCAGAGAAATCCAGGTGACACCCCAGAGGGGCTAGGAGAGGACACCCTTCTGAGAACAGTCATGGCTCGCCCGGCATCACCCCGCTCAGAGACCAGAGGAGGTCCCAGCTGGGGTGACACAGTCCCTCTCCACCCGGGAAGGTGCGTCTGCAGGGTCCAGGAAGGGACGTCTGCCAGGGGCAGGAAGGGCTTAGCATGGGGCTGCCTGCGCCAGCATTGGCCTGGGAACAACCCTGAGTCCCCTGCTTGGGAACAAACTGGACTACGTTTCCCAGAGACCATTCAGGAGTACGCCGCGCTGCATGCTGGGACATGGGGCTTGGGGCTCTGGTTTCCCCGGACACGGTCCTGCGTCCTCAAGCTTCTCACCCTCTCCCAAGGCCCCGGATTGGTCGGGCCTGAGCCGGGCATTCGCTTCCCAGGAGGAACCCAGGGATACCATCGGGGGACCACCGGGTGCGTCTGCGGCTTCGGGAGAGGTGGAGGAGGGAAAGAGGTGGTAGGGGTACGCACACACGTGTCAGTGTGTCAGCATCTGTGCACGCGCACATACGTGTTAGGCTCTGTTATGCCTGCCAATGCGTGTCAGGCCCCATGCACACATGCGTGTCGGTGTCTGCTTACGCACACGCCTGTCAGGGTCTGTGTGCCCACACATGCACGTCAGCGTCTCAGCACGCTATGTGTCAGGGTCTCTGTACGTGCACATACGTGTCGGGCTCTGTGCACATGCGTGCCGGGCTCTGCTGCCGCCTGTGCGCTCTGGCACCTGGGTGCGCGAGGCCCCGCCCGAGTCCGGGGTGCGCATGCGCACTGTCCTCCGGTGGGGGTTGGTGGCAGGACCAAGCGTGTGACGTACTTGCGTGGGAGTGCGAGGCTGACGCGGCGGCTCTGTCCCCTTAACTGTGACACGGGTGCCCGTGAGCGTCATTGGGGCCGTGGGTGCCGTTCCGGCTGCGCGTCTGCACTGGTGACGCAGCCATTGCCTCTTCGCCAGTCCGCGCAGGTGAGATTGGCTCGCGTGGCTCCAAGGGAGACGGGCACCGGGCTTCTGACGGTGACGCACTTGCTAGAGAGAGTTTGGGGTAACACAGCCAGGTTCTTCCCATAACTGGGGCCCGGGGGTGCTTCAGAGGCTTTGGGGCGACGCAGACCTCGTTGGCGCGTCCCCGGGACTGCGAGGCGAACTCTGGGGGCCGTGTGAGGGCGTAGCCGGGACGGTCTCCGTGGCCCACGGATGCGCCTTTGCACGGTTTGGGGTGGCGGGGCCGGCAGCATGGCCGTGCTGGGCGTTAGTGGGTGTGACGACCACAGATGTGTCTCGGGACAGCGTGTGCTGTGGTGAGGCTGAGCCGTGCAGGCTTGTAGTGCGTGAGGGTGATCGGGCCTTCTGGGTGGCGCAGGAGTGTGTGGCAGCGCGACCTGTAGCTCCAGCGTTACTGTTGCAGCCCCTGCCTTCACCCTCTAACCAAACGCTACCTGCCTGAGAACAAGGGCTGCAGAGAGAGGAGAGCACCTGAGCCCCGCCAGGAAATTCACCAACAAAAAGGCAGAAACAGCCATGAGGTGACGCTTTCAGAGCCAGACGTGCTCTCCATGCAGGCCGCCTGAGTGACAGGAGATGGTGGCTTTAGGAGTACTGCTTCTCCTGTAGAGGGACAAGTCCCTGGTGTGGGAGACGGGGAGAGAAGAGAGGCGGTTCCGCGCTTCATCATCTCTAACCTCAGCGTGCTCTTCAGGAGTCTCAGAAACCCCATCTCGGGGCCTAGTATTTCTCATTGGTTTCATTAGGTATGCCAGGTGTTTTCTAATGTTGCTTGTCCTTCCGAAAGATGTAGTGTCTTACCCTTCTGGTTTTGTTTCCCCTAGGCCAGCATCCTTCAGAAAAAGCATCCCCAAAGAGGAAGACGAATCGTTAAACATCTTAAATTTTCAGGTGAGTTTCCTTTCCTTTCTTTTTTTTTTAATTAAATGATAAGTGTTTATAAGACAAGACCAAACATTGAATGTAGGTGACCAAGATTTGAGTCCTGTTTCTGCCTTTTAACTTTTTGAGCCTTCTGAAGATAGGCTTGTGAGGAGGGTGAAATGCATGAACATGCATAAAACCGACAGACCAGCACCCCGGAGTGTAAGTGTGCAGTGAGTGCTGCTGTTACGTGTTAAGTCTGGATGTCTATACATCAGGAGCAACGTACATATGAAGGTAACTGGGATGGGTGTTTACAAGTTCACAGAATGAACCACAACCTCAAATGGTCTAGAACTGTTATCCTTAACTTGAGGGCTTTCCTTTACTCCACTTAAAACTTCATGAGGGACATTCTGTATATCATCAGTGTTAGTGTATTGGTCCACCACCACCACCCTAAGGAGATACTGTATAATTTCATGGCACTAAGAAGGGTGTACATGCCCCAAAGACACTTGGATCCATTGGTCTAGAATCAAAAACTGTGTTACCTTGACCACAATTACTGTTCAGGATGATGAAAATGGTTAAGTAACTATGCCACATTCATTTCATGGAACACTCTGCAGCTACAAAGAAGTAAGTTTAGTGATAGCCACAAGAAAGAAAAATGCAGCTGACATGATAATAAATTCTGCTAACAGTTATTAACAACCGAAAATGAAGGAAATGCTTAAATTGCCTAGAAATTCCATTGAATAAGACTTTTGTAAATGCCTTATCCAACATGACATTTTAATTTATTATTTAGGATTATTCATGAATCCTTTGGAAGAAAGTAGCCTGGCCACATTTATTGAGCACGTTTTTGTACCATACTTTCTTCTGTTTTGCACAGACTCCTTCATTTATTCTTACCTTAGTCTGTTCCGTCTAGTATTACGAAGAACCATAGACTGGTGGCTGAAACAACAAACATTTATTGCTCACAGTTCTGGAAGTCCAAGAAGAGGGCGCCAGCATAGTCAAGTTCTGATGCGGGTCCTCTGCCAGGTTGGAGACTGTCACCATCTTGCTATGTCCTCCCCGTGGAGGAAAGAAAGTGAGAGCTCTCTCAGGTCCTTTTCTTTTTTTTTGGACAGAAGTTGGCTCAGGCTGGAGTGCAACGGCATGATCTCAGCCCACTGCAACCTCCAGCTCCTGGGTTTGTGCAATTCTCCTGCATCAGCCTCCTGAGTAGCTGGGATTACAGATGTGCACCACCACGCCTGGCTAATTTTTGTATTTTTAGTAGAGATGGAGTTTCGCCATGTTGTCCAGGCTGGTCTCAAACTCCTGACCTCAGGTGATTAATTAGCTGGCCTCGGCCTTCCAAAGTTCTGGGATTACAGATGTGAGCTACTGTGCCCATCCTGTAGGAGGTATTCTGTGTCCTTGCTTTTGCTGGCTGCTAGATGCTGCCCACATTCCTTGGTTCGTGACCCCTTCTTCCATCATCAAAGCCTACAAAGACAGATCAAGTCCTTTTTCCATCACATCACTCTTTACTTCTCTCTTCACATGTTTCTGTTCATCTTCTAATTTTGAGGGCCCACTGAGGTAACTCAGGATAATCTCCCCTATGTCAGTGTCAGCCGATTAGCAATTTTAGTCCTTCTGCAACCTTCATTCCCCTTGGCCATGTAAGGTGCCAGAATTAGCATACTGAGATATTTCAGAGGTAATGATTTGGCCTCACACAGGCCAGGCCAATCCATTCAGAGTTTCCTTCATGATAACAATGTACTAGCTCCCCCATAACTATGTTTTTTTTTTGTTTTGTTTTGTTTTGAGATGGAGTCTTGCTCTGTCTCCAGGCTGGAGTGCAGTGGCACAATCTCAGCTCGCTGCAACCTCCGTCTCCTGGGTTCAAGCGATTCTTCTGACTCAGCCTCCAGAGTAGCTGGGACCACAGGCGCGTGCCACCACACCCGGTTAATTTTTGTATTTTTGTAGAGACGGGGTTTCACCATGTTGGCCTGGATGGTCTCGATCTCTTGACCTCATGATCCACCCACCTCAGCCTCCCAAAGTGCTGGGATTACAGGTGTGAGCCACCACGCCTGGCCTATGGTCCTTTTTTTTTTTTAAAAAAAATGTTATGCAGTCATATTTCTTTTTTTACGTGATTTTTTTTTTTTCTTACAGACAAGGTTGTGTTCTGTTGCTCATGTTTGAGTGCAGTGGCTTGATAATAGTTCACTGCAGTCTCAATCTCCTGGGCTAAAGTGATCTTCCCACTTCAGTCTCTCAAGTACTGGAATTACAGGCACAAGCTGCTGTACCCTTTGAATAGGATTAATGCAGGCCTGATGACGGGGAAAAAGAGTTCCCAAGAAGCCCTTAAAGAAGAATCTCCAAATTACCCATAATTGTACCATCCAGAGATAATCACTGATTAACATTTTAAACGGGTGGCACTTTGGGAGGCCAGAGTGGGAGGATCACTTGAGGCCAGGAGTTTGAGGCCAGCCTGGGCAACAGTGAGACTCTGTCACTACAAAAATTAAAAATTGACAAAAATTGGCCAGGCGCCGTGGCTCACGCCTGTTGTCCCAGCACTTTGGGAAGCTGAGGCGGGCAGATCATGAGGTCAAGAGATGGAGACCATCCTGACCAACATGGTGAAACTCTATCTCTACTAAAAATACAAAAATTAGCTGGGCATGGTGGCACATGCCTGTAGTCCCAGCTACTCAGGAGGGTGAGGCAGGAGAATCGCTTGAACCCGGGAGGCGGGGGTTGCAGTGAGCTGAGATCAAGCCACTGCACTCCAGTCTGGCCACAAAAGGAGACTCTGTCTCAAAAAAAAAAAAATTAGCCAGGGATGGTGGTGCATACTTATAGTTTCAGCTACTCAGAAGGCTGAGGTGGTCTGATCACTTGAGTTTAGGAGTTCCAGGGTGCAGTGAGCCATGATTATACCACTGCACTGTGAGCCTGGGTGACAAAGGGAGACAGTGTCTTAAAAAAAAAACCCAAGAAAAAAACATTCGAAATGATGGTATTTATGTTTCTAGTCCTCTTCTTTGCCTTTAAGCATGTGTGTGTGTTTTGTTTGTTTTTGGAGTATTGAATCTTGCTAATTAATCATAAATGAGCCAAAGACTCCAAATCTTAATTAATAAAAGGAATCTAACCCAGCCATGAGTCTCCCTACACCTGTGTAATGAGGGTTAGGGTAGGGAATCGAAGGGTTATGCCAGTGATCTTTGCCTTGCTTTGAAATATTTCTCACATATTTCTACCTTATAGGATTAGAAATACATCACCTGAATCTAACCTATGGCAACCAATTTTCAAGAAAGACAGCCCTTTAGAATTAGGTTATAGGCCGGGTGCGGTGGCTCACGCCTGTAATCCCAGCACTTTGGGAGGCCGAGGCGGGTGGATCACGAGGTCAAGAGATCAAGACCATCCTGGTCAACACGGTGAAACCCCGTCTCTACTAAAAATACAAAAAATTAGCTGGGCATGGTGGCGCGTGCCTGTAATCCCAGCTACGCAGGAGGCTGAGGCAGGAGAATTGCCTGAACCCAGCAGGCGGAGGTTGCGGTGAGCCGAGAGCGCCATTGCACTCCAGCCTGGGTAACGAGCGAAACTCCGTCCCAAAAAAAAAAAAAAAAAAAAAAAAAAATAGAATTAGGTTATAGAATTGTAATGTTTCTTTCCCGGGACATCACAGTAATGACTAGTGAACATTAATTACTGGATGCCTTGCAGATACAGACTTTCCATGTAACATTAGCAAGATTCTTTGTGCAAGTAACAAATATGGACTGTCTGAGTAACATTTCCAAGATAGAAAAAGAATTAGATGACAGTATCTCCTGTGTATCTCCCTTATCCCATGGAACACAAGATTCAACCTCTTGCTAGTGTTCTCAAAATTGGCATCTTCTCAGATTAGAGTCATTAAATTCGATTTTCTTGTGCAGAACAATGTCTCTGTCCCCCTAATTGCTGATGGAAAGGGAACATTTCCTCTATATTTCTTAGAATCTCTTTTGCTAATGTATTCATTTTGCTAAACAAAATGATTTCATTCTTAACATCAGACTCCGAATGCTATTTTTGGCTAATATTGATTACATGGACAGCGGGTTCAAGGAAGGCAAATTTTACCATTAGGAAAAAAAAGGAGGGGGCCATGCATGGTAACTCACACCTATAATCTAAAGCACTTTGGGAGGCTGTGAGGCAGGAGGATCGCTTGAGCCCAGAAGCTCAAGATCAGCCTGGGCAATGTGGTGAGACCCTATCTCTATTATGAATTTTCTTTTTTTTTTTTTTTTTTTTTTTTTGGAGCTAGAGTCTCGCTCTGTCACCCAGGCTGGAGTGCAATGGCTCGATCTGCAACCTCCACCTCCCGGGTTCAAGTGATTCTGCTACCTCAGCCTCCCGAGTAGCTGGGACTACAGGCATGCACCACCATGCCCAGCTAATTTTTGTATCTTTAATAGAGACGGGGTGTCACCATGTTGGCCAGGCTGGTCTTGAACTCCTGACCTCATGATCTGCCTGCCTTGGCCTCCCAAAGTGCTGGGGTTACAGGTGTGAGCCACTGCAACCTGGCCTTTATTATGAATTTTTTAAATTAAAAATAATAGAAAAATTTTTTAAAAAGGAAGATTGGCTGACATGAGTTGATCTTCAGTAATAACCATATTACTATATTAATATATTTATTAATGCATATTGCTGTATTAACGGTAATGCCATATTAATTGTGATACCATATTATCATGGTATTGAACACTGTTAATGACAGGGTCCTGGCTCTCACGTCTCACTAGGGGCCGCTGCTCTCAGGCAGGTACCCCATGGTCAATACCATATTACCATATAATACCATATTACC